TTCCTGCTTCCTCTATTGGCACACACACACAGAGGAGCAACAGGATAGCAAAACGAGGCCACTTGATCTCAAAGAAGACTCCTCCATTATAGCCCAGGTAGGCTCAGAGGCACCCTCCTCTCCTCTGCATTCTCTCCTCCACTCACCAACCATAGCCCAGCCTTTCTCAGTCATCAGTCCTCCAGTGCTCCATACATCCTTGTGTAGGGTTGCCAACCTCCAAGTGGTAGTTGGAGATCTCCCACTATTACAACTGATTTCCAGGTGACAGAGACCAGTTCACCTGGAGAAAATGGCCACTTTGGAGGTTGGACTCTGGGACTGTACCCCGAACCCCACCCTCCTCAGGCTCCGCCCCCCCAAATATCCAGGTATTTCCCAACCTGGAGCTGGCAACACTATCCCTGCAGTATTGAGTCCGTTATCCCTCACCAGCAGGAAGGTTATGACCTTAGGTTCCCCAGAGTGATGGCCTGGACATTTTCTTCATAACTACTCTGGCTCCTCCTCTTCCTGTCACATGACTGTAGCACCCCCTGCTGCCACATGTAGGTTAAAAGAGTAAGGTCTGGGGTCTAGAAAGGCTGAAGATCACGGCTGTTTGGTACCGATTTGGATTGGTTGGCTCAGAGCCCCAAAGTTCTGTGAAACTCCAAAGGTGATTCCAGAGTTCAGAACGCTAAATGACGGCCTGATAACGAGGCCTCTTGGTAGCTCTGCTGTGAGACAGCGAGGCAAAAGGGAAGAGGCATCCCAGGTTTTTTAGCCTGCTGAGCACGCAATCTGCTTCACTTTTTCCTTGCCGCACCCCCACCCTCTCAGCTCCCCTTGACAGCTCCCCGGTCTTACCAATGCGAGCAATGGGAATCCCAGCTTGCAGAACCTGCACGGTGCTGTCCACGGCAGCTTGCACACTTGGAAAGGCACAGGTGGCTGCCGCTGTGGCTTCGGGGATGCCGTGGAGGCGTAGGGTGGCCTGGGTGATCAGACCCAGGGTCCCCTCCGAGCCGACAAAGAGGCCGGTGAGTTGGTAACCAGCTGCACTCTTCCTGGAAGTGAAAGAGAGGCACGGATTTCAGAGAGCTACCATCCCTTTCCTAAGTGATGAGCAAAATAATATCCATGCCGGGCTAGGCGCTGTGCAAAACATGCAAGTCTCAGAGAGCCAGCAGTAACATTCAGCCAGTGGTTTTCAACCCTTCGGCCTTGTAGGAATCCCTCGCCTGGACAAAGGAGCCTGCGGTAATGTTCCCAGTGGCAGCCAAATCCAACATTGCCAGGAAGCCTGCGGGAGAGCCTGGGATCCATCATTCAATCTTGGCCCGACCGGCCTCAAAGCGTAGTCGTAAGGACTGAACAGACAAAGGGAGAACTGTGCATGCTACCCTGAGCTCCCTGGTTCCTTTTTTTGCGTTGTAGCCAGTGCCACTGATGGACCTCTTGAATTCGTCCGATCCCCTCTTAAAGCCATCTATGTCTGTAGCCATCATGACATCCTCTGGCAGTGTGCTCCAATTTTTGAAAAATCACTCCTGTTGTCCAGCTTGAATCAATGTTCTTGGATTCTCCCAAGCTCTAGTATCTAGGGAGAGGGGGAAAAGGTCCAGCAGTGGGGCCAGGACATTAGAAGCCCTCCCACTGTTGACCCCCCCCAAGCACCAAGAAGACAGAGCATCACTTGCCCCAGAGCCCCTAGCTATACCTTGTGGCTAATAGCCACTGATGGACCTCTGCTCCATATGCTTATCTAATTCCCTTTTGAAGCCGTCCATGCTTGTAGCACCCACCACTTCCTGTGGCAGTGAATTCCATGTGTTAATCACTCTTTGGGTGAAGAAGTACTTCCTTTTATCCGTTCTAACCCGACCGCTCAGCAATTTCATGGAGTGCCCACGGGTTCTTGTATTGTGAGAAAGGGAGAAAAGTACCTCTTTCTCTACCTGCTCTTTCCCATGCATAATCTTATAAACCTCAATCATGTCACCCCTCAGTCGTCGTTTCTCCAAGCTAAAGAGCCCTAAGCGCCTTAACCTTTCCTCATAGGGAAAGTGTTCCAACCCTTTTATCATTCGAGTTGCCCTTTTCTGCACTTTTTCCAAAGCTATAATATCCTTTTTAAGGTGTGGTGCCCAGAACTGCACACAGTATTCCAAATGAGGTCTCACCATTGATTTATATAGGGGCATTATTATATTGGCTGATCTGTTTTCAATACCCTTCCTAATAATCCCCAGCATAGCATTGGCCTTCTTTATTGCAGTCACACACTGTCTCGACATTTTCAGTGAGTTATCTACTACAACTCCAAGATCTCTCTCTTGATCAGTCTCTGCCAGTTCAGACCCCATCAACGTGTATTTATATTTAGGATTTTTGGCTCCAATGTGCATCACCTTGCACTTGGCCACATTGAACCCCATTTGCCATGTTGACGCCCACTCGCCCATCTTTGACAGATCCCTTTGGAGTGCCTCACAATCCTCACTGGTTTTCACCACCCTGAACAACTTCGTATCATCCGCAGATTTAGCCACTTCACTGCTTACTCCCAACTCCAAATCATTAATGAACAAGTTAAAAAGCAGTGGACCAAGTACTGATCCCTGTGGTACCCCACTGCTTACCCCCCTCCACTGGGAGAACTGCCCATTTATACTCACTCTCTGTTTTCTATTAATTAGCCAGTTTTTGATCCATAAAAGGACTTGTCCTTTTATCCCATGATTTTTGAGCTTACTTAGGAGCCTTTGATGAGGAACTTTATCAAAAGCCTTCTGGAAGTCAAGGTAAACAATATCTATTGGATCCCCCTTGTCCACATGTTTGTTCACCCCTTCAAAGAACCCCTCTCTCCATCCACTCTCTCCCCTGTGCATAATTTTGTAGGCCTCTGTCACGTCCCCTTCTCGGCCACCTTTTCTGCCTGAACTGAAAAGCCACAGTCTCTTTAGCCTCTCCTCATAGGAAAGGTACCCCAGCCCCTCAGTCATTGTGGTTGCCCTCTTCTGCACTTTCTCCAGCTCAGCGGGCTCTCTTCTTTCCAAATGCAGCCTCAGGCTGTAGCCACTAGCACCCTTTTGAATCAACGTCTGCAACATGAACCAGAGCGAATGATAAGCAGCAAGCATGCGTCAAAAAGACATGCAAAGGAAATCGGACAGGTCATGCCCATCCATGTGCTGTAGGGGCTTCTGTTAAATAAAAACTCCCAGCCTGGTGTGACACGTGCTAGAAAATCCAACGCAGAGACTTAAGGAAAGGTGTGATGCGGCTTCCAGAAAGCAGCTTTGTGACGTACCTGGGCCTCCGGTTCCGCCCAGCAGTATGAAGCACCCTCCCATCAGGAAGTACCACCTGCAAGTTCAGCACATTGTGGCGCATGGTGCCGTAGCGTACAGCGTTGGTTCCGGATGCACTGGTGGCTGCCATGCCACAGAGAGAGGCGTCAGCCCCGGGGTCTGGGGAAGGAGAGGCAACTCACTGAGACAGCAACAAAAGCCCCCACCCCACATCCCTTCCACACAGCTGAAGGGCAGAAATCGCTCTCAGGTCTGGCTGGCAGCATCTGGAACTGAGTCAGGAACCTCCAAAACTCAGCTCTTGCAGGGAAGAGCAGAAGAACATAAGACAAGACCAGTAGGTCCATCTAGTTCAGCAGCCTGTCTCACTCACTGGCCAACCAGTTACTACAGAGGCCAACACAGAACTGAGACTTGCCCCTGATGTTGCCTCCTTGCACTGGAATTTGGAGACCTCTGAATATGGAGGTTCCCTTTAGTCACAAACTACAGACAGCAACCAGAGGATGGCAAGTTTCCAAAAGATGCCAGAAAGCACCTGGGCAAGAGAGGATAATCCATCCAAATATATCACAAGACCAAATGGTGGCTCTTGGTGCATCAAGCTATGGCTTGCTGACCAGGTGAGTAAGTGTACCCCAAACATATTTAAGTGTGTTCAAGTTGGAACTATCTTATGGTGACCCCCAGCACAAGGGGCTTTCAAGGCACAGGGTACAGGTAAAGGTGGCTTGCCATTGCCTTCCTCTGCAGAGTCTTCCCTGGAGGTCTCCCATCCAAGTACCGACCCTGCTTAGCTTCCGAGATCAGGCTACACCATGCTGCCTTCCCCCCTGGGGTACAGTACAGACTGAAAAGATAGCACAGCCTGCTAAGAATGGGGGTGGTAGCCCTGGAAATCTTGCCTACAAAATATGGGTCCCTGCAGCACTCTTCTTAAGTAAAGCAGAACAAACAGCAATGTTAGTTTCCGGGGGGGGGGGATTATTATTATTTTGTTGTTGATTTCTATCCCGCCCAAGTGCTTCGGAAGGGAGACTTAAATAAGCTACCTCAATTAGTCTATGTTATTGTTTTCAAAATGCGACTCCTTTGAGAGCGCTTTTTCTGTGTCAATCATGTATGTTGCAGAGGATTCTGGTAAAGAAACAAAAAACACAGGGCATATCCTTATGTGCGCACACAGTTCACACAGGGGCACAGCCAGGCCTGTGGGAGTCCCACCTACACTTTGCATGAACTGAGAGCAAATCCTCAAAATGCACCTGACAATCTCCTGCTACTGCAGATTGACTAACACAATGGTCACTTCACCTATCCAAGGGACACAACATGGTGCCACCTTAAAAACTGATCCAGTGAAGCCTGAGATTTCCTAATCAGAACTTTGACCCTCAAATGCACTGGTTGTGTCTGAAAACTCCCATGCTGCCTGAAATCACCCTTTTCTTTTGCAATTTGTTTGCTTGGAATGCTAATGCTCCAGACTTCCTTTGGGAATCTGAGGACCTAAGTTCACAATACACACACGACCCGTGTCTTCCCCTTCCCATGCCGTGTCCACCAGGAGGCTACAAGCATGGACGGCTTCAAAAGGGAATTAGATAAGCATATGGAGCAGAGGTCCATCAGTGGCTATTAGCCACAAGGTATAGATAGGGGCTCTGGGGCAAGTGATGCTCTGTCTTCTTGGTGCTTGGGAGGGGGTCAACAGTGGGAGGGCTTCTAATGTCCTGGCCCCACTGCTGGACCTCCTGATGGCACTGGTATTTCTGGCCACTGTGTGACACAGAGTGTTGGACTGGATGGGCCTTTGGCCTGATCCAACATTGGCGTCTCTTATGTTCTTATGTTCACCAGACACAAAAGTGAATTCTCAGGCTCACAGTGGTCCACCTTGAATCAGGACACGGGGAGTAAGCCTTCCCCTCCACACCCACATCATGCCATTTTGCTGACCTGAAACAGCCTTGGGGACTCACTACTTGCTCTGCTGGAAAACCTGCTTGTAGCCATTCAGTACACATACACATACCTAGTAGAGTAGGCAGCATCTCCCTAGGACAATTTCAAGTCAGGAAAACAGTGTGGGGGCAAAGAAAGCTTCAACCCCTCCCACCCCCAGTCTGAATTGGGTCCCTTCATGGCTGGGAATTTTTCTAGCACAGAATTCTAGCAGACATCTGGTCAATAGGAACCGGGGCAGATGCAGGAGAAAGGACCTCATAAGTACAATGTACCTGGTGGAATGAGCTCCCGTGTGAGATCAGGGCCCTGCGGGACTTATCACAGTTCTGCAAGGCCTGCAAGATGGAGCTCTTCTGCCAGGCATTTGGCTGAGGCAGTGGACGTCCCCTCCCCCCCAGCTTCTCTGGCCTTGGTTCTTCCGGCGCACATTTTCTGGCCCATTTTCATCACTGGCCTGATTTTGATTGGTCATCTGATTGTTTTATGGTTACATGGTATTTTATGATAATTATATGTAAATTGTTATCACATGGTTTTAAGCGTATTATCTCATTGTTGTTCACCACCCTGAGCCCACTTGGGAAGGGTGGTATATAAATCTGATAAAATAAAATCATATAGTCAGGTCCGCAGAGTGGCTTGTTAGATGGGAGATCCCAATGGTGTCCTGTTTAACCACTGGTCAGGACTATAAAGACAAGGTTTTGACTGAAGATAGTACTTGAGAGCAGAGTGTGGTTTTTAAGAGGTTCTGTGGTATGCACACACTGTTGCTCTAGTCAAACAAGTCTTGCTGGGTTTTGGAACAATACCCAAACCTGCCAATTCTGTTTGCTAGCAGTGAAAGTAGGGGTTTACACACCCCAATCCGCAAAGCCTTCTTGCAGCTCTCTAGGGGGAAATATACCTCTCGTCTGCCTCCATCCTACAGCATTCAGTTGTGCAAATTCTGGCATCAAGCTTATTTTTATTTGTGAATGTCTTGCATTGTGCAAGGGATTGAACTAGATGACCCTGGAGTTCCCTTCCAACTCTATGATTCTGTTATTCCAAATGCAGATGTTCACAGGGGTCCTCACTCCCCCAAAACATGCGTGGCCCCTATAAGCAGACTATTTCTGCCCCTTTTAGTAGGCTTATTATATGTAGCATCTGCTCTGTAGCCTACATAACCCACACAGCCAGGACAGTGAGGTGATCAGAAGGTCAGACTAGGATCCAGGAAACTCCAGGTTTGGGTCCCCACTCGGCCATGGAAGCTTGCTGGGAAGCCTTTGGCCAGTCACTCTGTCAGCTTAACCTACTGTGCAGGGCTGTTGTGAGACCAATGTTACAAAAAGCTTTGGCTCCCCACACTGGGGATAAAAACTGGGGTATAAATATTAAAATGAAGGAATTTGCCATCTGCACTGGGGACAGGTAAAGAAAGATGCAACTGCTCCGAATTGGTCCTTGGTGCACACCTATCCCATTTCTAGCTCACCATTTTGATTTTCACCCATCCTTCGATTCTGGACAAAATCAGAGCTGGAATGTCATGCCAGCCTATCCAATGGCAACTGTCTTCTGCCTTGTCCCCAGAATCCGGGCCACCACCCTCTGCCAAAAACTATCTCCAAGCCAGCCGTACCGACAGGAAACCAGAGGCCACTGTCCCGCAGGAAGCTGTTTAGGGCCTTCCGGGTCACCCCTGGCTCCACGGCAACGGTGAAGTCTTCCGTGTTCAGCGCAGAGATTTGGTCCATTCGGGTCAGGTTAAAGCACACACCACCCTGTCCCATGGAAGGGGGTAAAATGGTTAGCAAAAGACAAAGCGGACATGAGGGGAAGGCCTGATACATGCAGGAATTTTTATCATCCAGAACCCTCCCAATTCCTCCCCCCCTGCCACTTCTACACAGGAGCCCATTCGTGCATCCCCTGATGCAATAGGTCTCTCGAGAGTGCAGGCTGTAGTTAAGAGTGGAGTTTTGCAAACTTTTTGGGCCAAGGAGCCAAAACATCAGAACCAGCCATGTGTGCTCCTTTCATCTTATTGGAGGAGAGCAGCAACTCCTTCTAGCACCAAAAAAATAGGTGCTGGGGCTGAAGCCCATCAGAAAGCCTCACCATCAGACCTGGAGTGCTTCCTCTCTAGGCCCTGCTTGTGGTTCCTCACTGATAGCTAAGAAGAGAAAGTGTTGCTGTGTCTTACCATAGCCACAAGCCAAGATTTAGCACTCCGAAATGGACTTTGGGGCTAAGTGCCAAGCAAATTAAGCCCCAGGTCTGGTTCTGCTCAGTGCTTTTTCAATCCTCCTCCACTCTAGTCGTCCCATCCCTACTGGCCACTGTGGCCCAACCTTCCCCCTCTCTCACTGGCCAAGCCACCCTACCTGCACAGCACTCACGCCACCCTCCAGGCCTGTGCCCGTGCCAAAGGGGATGATAGGAACTCCTCTGCTGTAGCAGGCCGTGGCTAGCAAGCTGGCCTGTTCCACGTTCTTGGGCCAGACCACAGCATCCGGTGGGAGGCACCTAAGACAGGGGGGGGGGGGAGTAGAACAAGATATGATAATCTTAGGAGCAAGGGGAATGACTGACTAGGGAGGGGGGGGCGGCTTAGATACACAAAAAAGGAAGACCAACAGGAAGCTGGAAATAAATGCTAAATGTCCATATACAACACTACTACAATATATTTTTAACAAGTATTTTTTTTTAATTTATTCATTCCACTTTTACCCCGCCCTCCCCGCAAGCGGGTTCAGGGCGGCTTCCAAAACTGACAAGCAGTATTCAACACAATAAGATATAAATACAAGCATCAGTTAAAACACAAACAACCCATATAAAACATTCATTAGATGGCGATAAAACTAAAGTGCAGTTTAAAGACACATTCAACGGTGCCCCCAGAAAAAGCCCTCGTCCTGGTTACCATCAACCTGACTTCCTTAGGGCCAGGGAGGTCCAGGCGGTTTTGGGATCCTGATCTCAGTGCTCTCTGGGGAACATACGGGGAAAGGCGGTCCCTCAGGTAGGCCGGTCCCTGACCATAAAGGGCTTTAAAGGTCAAAACCAGCACCTTGAAGCGAATCCGGAATGCTATTGGCAGCCAGTGCAGAGTCTTTACAGTGCATAAAATTCAATACATCCAAAAACGAGTCTTATTCTTTAGTTTTTAGTGTAATTAGAATTTTGTAATTATAGGTACATTCAATATTTTCACTAAACGATACGTAATACGGAGGATTTTGATAAGTGGCTTTGGCTCTCCCACGCACTGTATTACTGTTTTTGGACCTTTTATGCACTGTATACATGCAATACTTGGTAAAAATATATATTGTAGTAGTGTTGTATATGGACATTTAGCGTTTATTTCCAGCTTCCTGTCGGTCTTCCTTTTTTGACTATGGAAGGGGAGAAGGGGAGAACATCCAGGGTAGAATTAGACATAGGGAGACACATCTGTTTATCCACGGATCTGCCGGATTCACATATAAAGCAAAGATATGTGCACAATGTCTCATTTTAACATTAAAAGGGTGTGCAGGTGAGGGACCTAAAACCACTCTCCTTCGCTGCCTCACCTCCCACATTCCACACTGCATTTTTCTCCCATCTCTGCTCATCGAGAGAGCCTGCCTAGCAACATGGTTAGAGCAGGGTCCCCAAGATGGTGCCCCTGGGCCCGCTAAGTGTTTCTAGAAAGTAGGTGGGGCTTTTGCCCAGCAGGGCATCTGACTGGCCGCTGGCGATCTCATCGGCTGTGCATCTCTCCAAAAACATTTCAGTGGCAGCTGCCACCACACTGTTGGTGTTAGGTAGTTTGCCCCAGGGCAAACAGCCACGCTTCTCCTCTGCAGTTTCCTGCCCGTGTGACCGGGGCCAAAGTAGTGTTGTATATGGACATTCAGCGTTTATTTCCAGTTTCCTGTCGGTCTTCCTTTTTCGACTATGGAAGGGGAGAAGGGGAGAACATCCAGGGTAGAATTAGACATAGGGAGACACATCTGTTTACCAACGTACCTGCCGGATTCACATATAAAGCAAAGATATGTGCACAATGTCTCATTTTAACATTAAAAGGGTGTGCAGGTGAGGGACCTGAACTCACTCTCCTTTCCTGCCTCACCTCCCACATTCCACACTGCATTTTTCTCCCATCTCTGCTCATCGAGAGAGCCTGCCTAGCGACATGGTTAGAGCAGGGTCCCCAAGATGGTGCCCCTGGGCCCGCTAAGTGTTTCTAGAAAGTAGGTGGGGCTTTTGCCCAGCAGGGCATCTGACTGGCCGCTGGCGATCTCATCGGCTGTGCATCTCTCCAAAAACATTTCAGTGGCAGCTGCCACCACACTGTTGGTGTTAGTTAACCTTTATTGGCATTATAAAAGGGAGAACATTAAACAAATCCATAAAAGAACTAAACATAAAATGAATCACAAATTGAAATGTCCCAAGATTACAACCTTGGTTTCATTCTCTCTCTCGCAACCCAAAGTATTTTTTTTAAAAAAAATTATCCTTCTTCTGCCCTCCACTTGGGCTTCCTCGGTGTGCATGTGGCTCTGCCTGCCACAGCAGCCATTTTGTTGTGCCTATGCTCACCACCACCCTGTCTCAGAATTCTAAAACTGCCTATAGGCTCAAAAAGGCTGCTATGTTTTCTTCGTGAAAATCCCGGAAGGGGGAATAAAGGCAGGGAACCCGTCCCCCCCAAATTCCCTTCTGAAGTACCTGTGCATGGACTCATCATGGCCATGTTGCTCACGGACCACTGTGGCTGTGGACACATTGGCGCTCCCTACCACGGCTCTCAGGGCATCAAGAAAATCTTCCGTAAGCCAGGCCTGTGGCAACAGAATAAAGTGTGAAGGGGAGAATATTGTGGAGAGCGGAAATCTCTGCACAAAAATTACCCCTCCGTATCACAGCGCCTGCCTTTTTACTAGGTGCTCCAGTAAGGGCAGATGTGTCCCAGTGACATTTACTTGCCATCCTCTGGCACAAGCCTGTCTGGGAACTGGCTCTCATAACTAAACAACACATGCCTCAACAATAAAACGATGGAAGCAGACAATACCTAAATGTGAAAATGGGGTTTCCACAAGTATATATTTCGGTGTTCAATGAATCCTTTGGCATGCCCATGGCCCCAGAGTCCATGCAAAGATCCTGTATGTTACTGCTTAGCTATGAGCATTCCTATTTTCCTAAACTAAACATTGGATGGCTCACAATTATCTGGAGGATGAGACGCCCACCCTGCCCAGCCCATGCTTTGCATACATAGTCTGTGTCTCAAATTGCCAGTTAAAGGACAGAGGATGCTAGACATTGGATTAGCTAGGTCAATGGATCGATTGATCAGCAGTCCAACTCTACAGCAGGCGAATATACATATATTAATTTCAATGAAAGAAATCTATCAGATTGAATTAATGGACCCAAGTGTGCCTCCCCCACCTGTTTACTCCAAGTTTGTGCAATCCTTATTCTGCAATTCTTGTGTAAACCAATCCAGCAATCCTCATTTAGGAAATAAGGACTAAATTCTGAGTGAAAAGGCATAGAATCAGTCTTCAGAACCTGGCCCATAATTTTCTTTTAATCCATGTTAGGGGTGTCCATCCCTCCCCCCCACCCCGACACACTGGCTGCATCCTATAATCAAGCAGGTGAATTTTACTCATGTACATATTACCCCACTCCTTCTCCCCAAAGGGGACCTAAAGCAGCTTACAACATGGTTCTCCTCTACTCCACTTCACAACACCCCTGTGAGGCAGGCCAGGCTGAAGGTGATTGGCCCAGTGAGCTTCTGAGGCACAGTGGGGATTCAAACCTGGGTCCACGACTATAATCACTACACTACTCTGGGTGAGGTCCCCCCCCCTCCAACATTGCAAAGGGTCATGGAAATCCCTCTTGGTTCACAGAGTTCTTGCATTTGCACCCTACAACGTATCACTGCTTCCAGTGGCCAGTTCTGTGGCTTTCACAACTCCAGGGGTTTCTGTCACCCGGCTAGGATTTTGCACAAGACACAATCCCCTGCTGGATCACACCAAAGCCTCGACTCCAGTCTCCTGTTACAGTGACCTAGCCCATAGTTACAGTGGGACTATTAGGGGCGCTGCCCCCTTCCTCAAAGGGCCAGCCCCACAAGATTGTCTTCTGGAAAAAATATATTTTAAAAACATTGCTAATTATCTTTTTCTCTATATGATTTGGAATGGTTCAGGGCAGGGTATCCTATAGTATTGCTATAGAACAGAAGATATACACAGTGCATCTGAAGCAACAGTAAGTAGCTTCTGGTTATTAGTCCTTACCCCCACCAGGAAAACTTTTGCCACACACAAGCCACAAAATCCTGGCGATGGGGCTGACAGCGACCGAACAGAAGTATGCGACCAAGACGACCCCCTTGTTTGCCTCACACTGCCACGGCTAATATCCACAGGTACCCTGCGCCTGAACAGGGAGGTTTCATCAGAAGTACTAATCCTCGATTCTGCTCCACCGACCTACACGCAGAGGCTCTGCCGACGGGCTCAGCACGCCGCTAGCCTCGGCCCGACGCACAAGCCACCTCTGCGCAGTCAGAGCCAGCGAGGTCCTCCCGCCCCGCCTGCTTCCCCCGCCGCCTCTACCTTCGCGGCTCCTTGCGAGTAAGGCCTCGCGGCTAAGCCCAGCGTCCTCCGCAAAGCCATGGCCGCCCGCAGGCCAAGGGCACCGGGAGGGCGCCGAGACGATCGCGCGCCGCTCTCTAGGGAAGCAGGAAGGCGGAGCTGCCGGCGTCTTTTCAGGCGGACCGACTGACCGACCGACCCGGCGGCGGCGGCGGCGGCGGCGGGGCAGGGGACAGAGCCGGCGCCTGGGAACGAAGAGCGCGTGCGTGGTGCCTGGGGCCCGTCCCTGCCTGCGAGCCGCGTGCTCTGTGCGTGTTTGGCGGCGCTCCCGGCTGCCTCTTCGGGCCGCAAGCAAGAGAAGCCACCGGGCAAAACGTTCCCTGGGGCTGGGGGTGTTTATCGTTCTGGCGTGGCTCGATGACGGAGCGCACTCCCGCGGGATAAAAAAGAAAGCCAGTCGCCGGATTTGGGGGGCGGGGGGGGGGGAGGG